CCCCAAAACCCCAAAACCCCAAAACCCCAAAACCCCTGCTACTGGTATATATAGAATTAGCAGGCATTAAAGAAAATATCAAAAATTTGAAACTTGATATATATTGAAACGAGAAGCGCAGTCTCTTCGAGAATATGGGGTATTCCTTTCATTTGATCAAGTTGATCATTCATTTCACTTTATTTTTCATTCTAATTCGCTTAGAATGTCATCTACATTATAAGCTTCGGGCACTCTCCAAAACTGGTTGCTGAAGAATTTGTCTCCTTGATTATTTTATTTATTTTCCTCTTCTTTATTATTGTCTGATTCATTATCAGCCTCATCCTACTCAGGCTTTGAAGAATTCTGGCCCTTTTTATTCATGGCCTCCTGGTTACGTTTCTTAATTATGTTTTATTTCATTTAACCTAGCTTCAGCATGTTATCTAGCAACTGCTCTTGACTCTCATCCTGAGTATCTGAGTATCTTCTAGATTCATTATCAGGAATGGGCTTGGCTGGTATCTTAAATAGATTTTGTTCTTTTCTGTCCTCTTCACCGTAGTCCTCTAACTTCTTTGTCCATTTAGTCTCAAAGACTTTGAGTTGGTTGTTACAGAACTCAATCCAGTCATTTTCCTGGATGCTTCTTTCTTGCTCCTCATCATCGTCTTCTTCCTCGTCTTCCTTCTTTTCATTGTTGTTGCCATTAATGCTTGGGTTTTCATCATTCATTTTCTTGATTGCAATACCCATTTAAACAATAGTTCCAAGATTAGCTTTAGTAGTGAGTCTTCCACTGTTCAACTTTAGATATACTGCATCCTCATCATTTAGGTTGTTAGCAACGAATTTCTTAAGAGACTCTAACTCTTCTTGGTCTAGAGCCTGCTTTAGGAAATCAAGAACCAATATTGCTTGTTAATTAGCAATAGAACTGAAGGGGTAACGTTCAATGATGTCGAGCATAGTAGCAATTAATTACTTTCTGAGGATTGTGCTGATGTATTGATCCGAGTTTAGTTCAACATACTTCTTTAGAGTTTGTAACTCCTGTCTGACTAACTCAAGTGCCTTTAGTCTGCGAAGACCAAATTTACGATGAGTAACACCTGACTGATTCTCCTAGACATCATTAGGTGAGTCTGGCTGTCTAATAGTCAAAAGACATGAATAAGTGATGTCTAAGAAGTGATTACCTATGGTTTAGGTAAACTCTTAAGCTAGAGATCCAATTTACTTCTCATAATCTGGGAATTCTCTAATAATTGCAATAATTAGATTAAGAGCATATGCTTGATTTCTGTTGCCTATATCACATGCAGCCTTTATCAGATTGGTTAAATTTTCCTTTTCAACCAATTTCCCGAATGTTTGCTCGTTGTCAGCTAGTTCAAGCAGGATTGAGTGAGCATTCATAGTCTGTTCAATATCCTTGTTTCTAAAGGAAAGTAAATTAATCAGGTACTCAACCACTTCCTATCTCTTTTTATTTAGAACTGAATACATCTCTCTTTCAACCTTGGTCATTCCTGCTGTTGGATCAGCTTCCTTTTTTTCTTCATCTGATTCCTCGTTTTAATTACCCTTGGCATCTTCTTTATCGAAGTCAGAACTGAATCTGTCACGATTGGCAGCACTTTAAGTCTAAGCTGCAGTTACTATTTTAATTTGCAATAATTCAACTAAGAGTTGAGCCAGTGAGTGATACTGCATAAAATGAGTAAGCTTGGTGAAAACATCTCCCTTTCTGACTATCAGCAAGTAGTGAAGCATTTTTTATTTGATTTTACCCATAAAGGCTTGTACTATTTTATTAAAGTAACCGCAAAGAATTGGCTAGATTTCGGTTTCAATGTCAAGTAAAGAGAATAACTCGTCTATTAAAGAGTAATCATACTGAATTGGAGGCTCTTCGTTGTCGAATTTAGCTTTTTTATTGTTTAATGTGCTTATTTAGATTGAGATTTTATTGTTTTTACCTGGACCTGCAGAATCTTCATCATCCTCTTCAACATTAACATCCTTGTCATCATCTTCATCTTTTTATTTTTCCTCTTCTTATTTATTTTCATGATCATATAAGTCTAAATCTTTATTCTAGGTATCTGTTGCAGCACTCTTCTATTCTTCTTCTTGGTTATTTGACTCCTCTTTTACCTAATTATCTTTTTGAGATTCTTGCTGATTTTCAGTGGTATTGCTATCTACTTAGGGCTCTTTCTATTCAGGTTCCTCTGAATTATCGTCCTGATAAATTAACTCAATCACTTTAAAATTTAATTACTGGTACATGAGCATCATATGTCTCAGTAATGACTTAATCAGATTCCTCTTCATTTTCGTTTTCTCCACTTTAATTCAGATCGATCTGCTTTTACTGTATCATATAATCTGCAATACGCATGCAACTGACAAGAATATCTGTAGCTACGAATGGATACCTATTAAAGTTAAAAACCCAGAGCTGATTCATATATTTTACTTATGTGCGAGGTCCTTATTGTTAGGGTCGGTGGGGTCCCTGGTAGCAAAATGAACTAATTTCCTTAAATTTTCTTTCTAGCACAGGAAATCCAACAGCTTTGCATTTTGTTACTTGCACTCGCCAATTGTCTCTTCCTCTGCTAGTAACTCCTCTAGTTTGTTCTCACTCTCCTTCTAGAGGATTTGGTTGATTTTTTTCTAGCCTAGACCAAAGGCACTTAAAAGATCTCTATAAAAAGTGTCATAAATTTAGAATTTCTAATGCTAGGGTTCGAAAGTACCTTGCAAAGATAAAATTCAGCATATTTTATTTATAATTATTATCTATTCCTAATTTCTTATCTACTGCTAATTCATGGGGTTTTGGGGTTTTGGGGTTTTGGGGTTTTGGGG